GGGCACCATTCCCTGCTTCTGGAGACGCGTCCTCCTCTTCTCTTCCAGCTCCTTCTGGATTTTGTAGATCTTTTCTGCCAGGAGGTGGTAGTACTCCGCCTGAAAAGGAGCACAGCAGGAGGGTGGGAGGACGTTACACCACTCACCAACAGTGAATAACAAAACACTTGATGATGGCAGAGTGGGTTTTCATGCTTCGCGTGCGGGTTTCTTACCCTACTGTTGGCCGACTCGTACATGTCTCCCTCCACTTTTCGCGCGTAGGCCACAAGATTCTCCATTCGCCTGTCCTTGAGCGCTGCTGGGTCAGGAGTAGGGAATATGGCCTGCACACTGCGCGCGCGCACACACACACACACACACACAGTTACACTCCGGAAGAACCTTCTACTGTCTCCTTTATTTCATGAGCTTCATTCTTCTTCCAAGACAATGAACTCACAGCTTGTGGACGAGATGGTTGCGAAGATCTTGCGTGATGTCTTCGTGCCAAGACTTCCTCATGCCAGTGGCAGAAGGGGGCGTGGCTGCAGGCATGGAGCCAAGGTTCCCCACGCCATCGTTCATCAAACTGAGAGCAAACAATAGAGCAAAGGGCCACATTTTAGGCAACACGGCGCATATTTAGAGTGAAGCAGAAGTAAATGCTGTTGAACGGAAGATGCCGGACCTTTGAGCGTTCATGCTGTTGTGCATTATGGCGTCCGGCAGCAGGGGGGACTGCTGGCTGGGAGGCTGCACCCCAACGGCTCCATTCACCCCCACCGAGTTTCCACCTGACGGGATGTTACAACAATGATCAGTGTTTTAGTGGAATTAAGAATTAAAAGCCAAAGCATCGTCCACTACTTTTAACGTCAAAGATCAAGTTAAGTTAAGATCCAGGAGGTGAGTGAAGCCAACCTGTAGGATTTAATGTCCTCATACCAGTCTGTCCCTGAAGGCTCTGGTTTGGCATGCTGGTCTGCTGCTGCTGGTTGCCCTGGTAGGTCAGACCCAACGCAGCGTAGGCCCTCTCTATGGAGCTGGGGTCAATCTGGCTGGGGGGGTTTAGGTTGGGAGTGTTCGACTGGCCGCCTGCTCCTCCTCCACCTAAAGAGTTCATTAGACTCACAGCTGCACTGTTGAGGAGGGCTGGAGGAGGATAAGAGGGATGAGTACCACCGATGCTGGTAAGGAAGAGGCAGATTGAAAGCGTATCACTCACTCTGCTGGTTCCTCTTGTCTCCAGCATTCTTCAGAGGCAGGCACACGGGACAGTCGTGTCTGGTGCAGTTCTTCCAGTGGGAGATGATCTGCCTGGACGAGGCGCAGTGCGCCACTGGAGAAGAGATGGAAGCAGGGAAAAGTTTCAGAAAAGGGAAGATGGGCGCAAAAACAAAAGAGCAATACGGCAAGCGAGGTGAGAAATTGTGTGTGTGTGTGTGTGTGTGTGTGTGTGTGTGTGTGTGTGTGTGTGTGAAAACACCTTTAACGTCTGTGTGGCTCTGTAGCATAAAGCTACATCTAGATTAGCGCTGAAGACATCAGATATTTTAGTAGTTGAGTATTCTAACAAGATGATCGAGTACACATCTATCAGAACGGGACATGCTCTTGTTTACCATCACAATGTTTATTTTTGTTGTAAAGATTTTTTCTGAACAATTATCTAAACTGGCGAGAACCCTAATCCTGAAGCTCTGTCCCAAATCAGATCAGTCTGGCTCCAGGATAGTTTTTTGATCACATTACTCAAATAAGATGAACTTCTTCATCCCTAGATGATGGAGGCCAAGGGCGTGTCCAGGGAGTGGCCTGGGGTAGCACATGCCACCCTTGGAATGTTAATTGGCCACCCCAGGTGCCACCACACTAATTTACCTTTAAATAGGCTTTTCATTGTTCACAAAAGGCGTGGGGGTAAAACAAAAAAAGCATAACCATTGGTGCCACCCATGCACAAAGTTGTGCCTCACCTGGGCCACCCCATTTTAAAAGATCTGGACACGCCACTGATGGAGGCTCAGTGAGACCAGCACAAAACACGTTTGAGATGAACAGGCAGCCGAGGAGAGAATAATTTATCCAAATACCCAAAAGAGGGTTTTAAATATAAAAAGAAGTGCCGAAGCTGGCGTTACCCTGGCAGGACTTGCCGGCCTGACAGTGAGTCATGTGGTTGAGCACGTTCTTCATGGTGCGGCAGTGGGGCAGGTTGCACTGCCGCACCTCCCCGTTGGCCTGCTCCCTCCGCTGGCACTTGTGAGCGTGGAGCAGCAGGACGAGCTGCTGTTGAATCAGCTTCCGCTTCTCAGGGTCGGCAGTGGGGGGCGTGGAGCCGGGTCCTGCCCCCACAGCGTTGAGTCCAACCTGGGGCCCGCCCACTGCTGCCGCTGGTCCACCCACAGACCCACCGCCAACTGCACCGGCCTGCTGCTTCTGCTGCTGTTGAGGAGTTTAAATACTTTTATTAGATATTAAAGAGGATTAATCACCTTTTCTGAGCTTTAACACCTACATCTGTGTGTCTGACGCTCATGCAAATGACACACATTAAGCCAATTTCCATTTTGAAAATACTGAACAACTCATATTTCAATTCTTCAAGTATTTCTACCCCAACATTCATCAATTAACCAACCATTAAGTGGAAAACTAACCAATAAAACCTGTACCTAAAAACAGCTGCCATTTTGAAATGTATTGCTCAGCTGGGCTTGGACTAGTCGTTAGCTCATCAGTCCTGCATGACTTTAACCGGAGGTGGTCAACCCTGGATCTAGAATGCCGCCATTGAGCATGTTTTAGTTGATTCCCTGCTCCAACATCAGTAGGTGATTAACAAGCTTCTGCAGAGCTTGATGAGCTGGTGAACTGATGATTCAACCATTAAATTAGGTGTGTTGGAGCGGGGAAACCAATAAAACATGCTCAATAGCGGCACTCTGGGACCAGGGTTGCCTACCCCAGATGTATACGTGACTCACACAGAAGCTATTGACAGCAGATGAGATGGTATTTATCTATGGCATTTGAAGTAAGTCTATAAATCGGTATCTCAACACATTTGCAGCGGTCTCTTAGCCTAGAAATCTAGACCGCCAGTTGCTGAAGCAAAATGGTTTTGCTCTGCGTGTCTGTCTAGTCACGCTCCATTAGAACTTCCACAGCCCCGGCCAGTCAAATGGCTGGCCAATCACAGAGCTCTATCAGTTTGGTGGGCGGGATGATGCGATGAAATGGAACAATTAAGAAGGCAATAACTCATTTGAAGCGGCTTTGGTGTCAACTTTGGACTATTCAGACCTAGGCTTTTCTTTGAGTCAAGAGCAGATAGAGGTACTTAATTCCTTTACTAGCACACCCCTGCCAAAGTAACTTTATTCAGTCTCTAACTAGAGCCTGATAGCATTAAGCACGATTCTTATTTAGAAAATTTAACAGCATCAGTGTACGTTAAAATAAAACGGAGTTACGTTTATTTCTTCTGGGAAATGATAATAATCTCTGAGCTTCTTTGAAATGGGGCAGACCGATATATCGGTCGGCCAATAGATACCATTTTTCTAGGGCTGCACAATATATCAAAAAATTATCGTCATCGCAATAACAGGACATGCGATAGGCCCATCGCAAAGCATGTCAAAAATGGCGATAAATGTTTGGTTCAACATTTCCATCCGTGTCATACATCAACTTTTTGTAAACCAGCTCTGTTTTTTACGCGGAAGTATTATTTGACCAATCAAATGTAGCCCTTCTGATATGCGGCCAATCAGATGGGTCCGTTTACGTAACACGCCCGCCCCCTACGTAGACCCTTATGGAAAGCAACACCCGAACTGAGGTAGCGGCGCCGTTCCCTTGTTCGTCATGCTGGCTCAGAGCAACGAACGCACTTTGTGCTGATGTTTCTGGAATCAGCGCTGCTTTCAAACGTGAACGCTCTGTGTCCATTTTTTCCAGGCCGACTCCGACACGTGCCGGTGAACCAACCAACCCACCTTCATGTTGCTAGTGTTCCACCGGGTGGTGATTGTTAGCCCCAGGCTCCGATTAGCTTCCAGCTAAAAGGCTACAGCAGCACTCTCCTCCCAGTCCCACCCTGCTAAAGAGGGCCTGGAAAAGTTCCCCCACACATCAAAGTGATTTTTAATTTATGAGCTTTTATAACCTTGTTAATCAGGATAGTTGATTTGCTGCTGCACATAAACTGTCAGTCAGAAGCTCTGCTAGCCGGTTATCTTAGGAGGAGCTAGTTCAATTTGTTGGCTTGTTATCAGAATCAGTTGCAGTTTCATCATCTGAGCTGCTTTTTAAGATCTAGGTAAACTTGTTCAATTTGGGGTTAAAAACAAACATTTTCACATATTTTTCATGTAGTTTTTTTTTTTTTTGCCAGTTTCTCTTCTGAAAGGTAGACAATTGTTTTTCCCTCAGAAAATCTTAATATTCTCCTAGTTTGGCCCAGCACAGTTCACTTCCCAATTGCAGCAACAGCCTTATATCATAACCACATAAGTGGAGAAAATGTTCAGTAGCAATGAGAGAATTTGCTGTTGCATTTAGGTGATGTTAACTATTATTTAACATTTAAATTTATTTTCTGATATTTTTATTTATTCAGAAACCCTGGTAAGGGATGTTTTTCTGTATTTGGAGCATCAGAAAAAGTTTTATGGTGGAGGTGATGTTTTAAAGTCACTGAGGAACTGCATACATGCAGTTTGTTGTTTTGCTGCTAATACAGTAGCAGCTGCACTTGCTACTGTATTAGCAGGTGCAGCTGCTAATACACCAGCAGGTGCAGCTGCTAATACAGTAGCAGGTGCAGCTGCTAATACAGTAGCAGGAGCAGCTGCTAATACAGTAGCAAGTGCAGCTGCATGTTTATGCAATAAAAATGTTATGTTGTAATGGAATTCATGCATTAGTTTTTGTTTGCTTTGAACCCAGAGCAGACGTCACACGCCAGACGACATCAACACTGCATACTTTAGTATTTGTTCATTTATCGTGAGTAATATCAATATCGCAATATTAAGCACTGTTATCGAATATCGCAGGTTTTCCTAATAACGTGCAGCCCTACATTTTTCCAATATCTGCATCACCCGATATACCTCCTTAGAAAAGCAGATTTAAAGACAGGCACATCCTTGGGCAGCCCGGACTGTGGCAGAATTTAATTTAAATGTATTTTTACATTCCTGAATAAAGTCTGCATAATAAATATGCAAAAAATTGTTTTAAACTAAAATGTGATTTTATTTTACCAGTTTGAATATTTAATACTTGGTCAGTTTATTGATTTGTTCCATTAACTTAATTTAGATGCCTGACTTAACACTGACCCCGGCTTTCCACAGGAGCCGTCAGCAGCACGTCATAGCCGCTGATAGGAACCGCTGTGGTCAACAGAACCTTTTCCACTGGAGCCGTCAGCAGCGCGAGTCGGCTGCGTCTCAGGAGCAGCATGTCGCGGCCTTTACGCGCCGGTTCTATTTTCTACGCGCGACGCCTCTGAAACGGGTCAAGTTCGACATTTTTGGGGAAGGAAAGACAGGAAATTGGACGCGGAAATGAAGAGAAGCTACCGAGATTTTCAGAATAAAGAACGTACTGCTTTCCGGTTGCTTTACTTTAAAAAAGGTTACTAACTGTGCGTCCCCGTGAGAAGTTATCACCTAGCTAGCGGTCTCCTTTGTTTTTCAGGTCCGTATTGGCGATTATAAAACGGACAGAACATAAAACACAAACCATGTTGTAATTTTCTCCTGCTTGTTGTTGTGTTTACTGACGAAGTCACTCGTGTGACTTCGTGCTCGGTCGGTGACAGCTGCTCCCCTGCTGCTTCGCGTCTCGTGGGAAGGACCAAGCAGCAGCTTACGCGAGCAAGACGTGCTGCTGCAGTAACGTGCTGCTGGCGGCTCCCGTGGAAACCCGGGGTGAGCCGTGCACAAAACAGTTGGTTAAATTCAGAGTTCAAAAACCGATTCAGCTTCAGAAATTTGGTGCATCAGCTGATGTTATTAGTGACATTTTAGCATGCAAATAAGGTGGAAAACATCTAGATATCAGTTACAAAAATTGGCCCAAAAAAACTGGCTGACCATGTCTCCAAAATATCGGCAATAGAAAAAAGCAATATTGACCGACCTCTAATTTGGAACATTTAGGCCTGTAGTCCCACATAATTATTTTCTGTACACCCCACTACATTTGTCAGAAAACCTTTAGTTTTCTTTCAGATTCAACATTTTCTATCAGATACCAAACCATAAAATACTGCCACAGATGTGGGCCATTGATAGCAAATGAGATTTGTTAATTTGCACACACCAAAAATTGATTTTCATAACAAATCCATTCAAGCCCATGTTGCAAAAATGAGTACACCCCAATTATAGTCTTAGGAGAAAATCCACACTTAGGACTACAATATTCAAATTAACAGACATTCAACTATAGGTGAGTCTAATGATTCATTTAAGAGGCGCCCAGCAGACAGGTTACTATAAAAGGGCATTTCTGAAAGAAAAGCTCTTCCCATTTCATGCTGTCAGCATTGGTTCCACATGAAAGAGAAATGTCACAAAATCTGAGATAGGAAATCATTTCTTAGCAAAAGAATGGTGTGGGCTACAAGAAGATCAGCAAAGTGTTACATATCAGTCAGAATACTGTAGCAAAAGTGATCAAAAATGTAAGAAAGATGGAAGAGCAACCACCTTACAGATGTCTGGGCCGTCCACGGAAGTTCACATCTCAACAGGAGCGTCTTCTGATGACCATGCAAGTTCACTGCAGTTAGCAAAAGCAGTAGAAAGCCAAACTAAAGTGGCCGTTTTCCATGACGCCATACGGCGCACACTGCAGAGGAATGGTATGCATGGGTATCGTCTCTCCTAAAGCCCATGCACAAAAAGGCACACCTAGGATTTGCTAGGGCCCATGCTGAAAGAGATGAAGACTATTGGGACTATTGAGACAAAGATCAGCGTTTTTGGAACTAATGGTTTCAAAACTGTATGACATCATAAAGGTGAGGATTTCAAAGAGAAATGCATGGTGCCTACAGTGAAACATGGTGGTGGCAGTGTCCTTATGTGGGGCTGCATGAGTGCGGCTCGTGTTGGGGAGCTGCACTTCTTTGATGGTATCATGAACTCAACAATGTACTGTTCTATACTGAAGGAGAAGATGCTGCCATTACTCCAACATGACAATGATCCAAAACACACATCTAAAGCTACTGTTGCATTTCTGAAGAACAGGGGTAAAGGTGATTGAATGGCCAAGTATGTCTCCTGATCTGAACCCAATCGAACACCTGAGGGGAATTATGAAGCAGCAAGTTGAGCATCACTCTCCATCCAGCATCCAGGCTCTAACAGAGGTTATTCTTGAAGAATGGAAAAACATAACTGTTGCAATATGTCGCC